GCATGAGTATGTCTAATCCATGATTTTGTCTCTGGAACGAAAGAGTGGACGTGACTGTATGGGCGGCTGTAGGAAGCGTATGATGAACATGCCTGGAATATAAATGAGACAGTTGTCGGCAGGGATGTATACCCCCGTCTGGTACATGAAAGTGAAATGTGATAAGTGGCCAACCAAGTGAGTTCCCCAGAAACATCATGAACTTATGGATGAGTAGTGGCGTTTGTTGATGATATGATATGTGCTTAGTTGTCTGAGTAACAACGGATTGATGACCCTGACCATGATTTACCCCATGCCACAGCAGCTGCTACAATGGGGTAGATCTCCCAAAGGGGCTGAAGTGGTGGAAAAATTTCCAAACCTGGATGCCATGGCCAACAGCCCCAAAGCAATTGTTCCCGGTAGATCGCTGCCAAACCCGTGGTATACGCTGCGTCTGACCATCTGGTTGGAGAAGTGTCAGACAATCCTGGAAGGAACATGCTTTTACCATGCCAAGTGGTTAAGAAATCCCCCCCCCCCATGTGCAGGTCTGCTGTTGCTGAGGTGTCTAGGCACCTCCTCTGATCGTCATGTTGGAAGTGTGGAAAAAAGGGGAAAGTACTCTGGATGTGAAAGCGTGGTCTTGTGGTATGATTGGCATGGCAAAATTAAGGAACCTGGTAGGGATTGTAGTTCCTTGTAGTTGTAAGTACTAAGCAGGAGGTAGTGATTGATTTAGTTGAGAATGTTCCCTATTTGTCTTGTGGTAACTTGCGTGTATGGATGCCGACTCAAGTCATATGCCCAGTAATGTGATGATAGTGTCTGCGCCTTCTGTTTCTTATGGGGTACTGGGACGCCCAAGTGGTCAACCAGACTAAGCTGCCATGAGGCTTCTAGTGAAAAATATGCTTTCTTTGAGCAACAAGAAGTCTTCTAGATAGTGTATGACTGTAATGCCTCTGGATATGTTATCATAACCAGCACAGAGTATCTGTGAATATCGATAGTAGGTTAATCTGTAGCTCGAAAGTTGAGCAGGGAAAGGATTGCCCAATTTATGCCATGTAAGTGCCAGTGTGTAGGGTAGATGGTAGCTGTTTACTGCGTTGATGATATTGGTCTTACTTAACCAAGCTTTAACCCATGCTTGAGTGATAGCTGTAAAGGTAGATCAATGGTGTTGTATAGTAAGAAGGGAGTTGAGACTTGGGGTAGCGGAGGTGTGTGGTGCCAATAAGTCTATGGTTAGTCTTTGTTTAAGGGAAGATTCCTTGTGACAATACCAATGTGTGTGTTTGGTGCCATGCTGTAAATGGTGGAGATTGGAAGACCACTCTGCACATCTTGGCTATGAGTGTGTTTTCAGCCAATGGTTTTGTTGTGCTGACTGTAAGTGAGGGCATGCTATATTCCTTGAAGGTGTGTTTATGATACCTGTATGGGAGCCCTTTGAAGCTCCAGAGCTTTAGTAAATCTACTACAAGTCTGGAAGGGTGATGAGTCAGTAGTGTTGAAAATGCATTGGTGTGTACAGATGGTGAGTACGTTATTTGTAAGTTGTATTGGGCCACATGGTTTGTCATGTGCCCTGAACCATTTGAACATATATACAACAGTCTATATGCAATGCAACTACTCATATCAATCGTCTCTGGTAGTTCAGAGGTGCTGGTACCTGGAGCCTGAGAGTGCTCGTCCATTTGTTTGGGACAGAACCCCTTCTGTATGGGTACCTGCACAAATAAACATCTCTACATATTCCAAATACCAACCCATCCAAGAGATGGTCAGTTCCCGATTTACCTGGAATCCCTGAATCTGACCATCACAGATACATCATCATACATATATATGCCTTGCTTCCCCAATGTGCTGGGATCATACGTGCAGGGTTAACATCTTGTGTGTCATAAGAATTGATTGTACCAGGTAACCGAGTTTCGGTTGGTGCTGGTTGTACAGTAACGTGAGGCCCAGCCTTGTGAGGGCTGTGGTGACCAACTCGAGATTGCCAGTCTGTCATAAAATTTTTGGCTCATGAGTTTATGAGTGAGGCTAGCATAGCCTGGGTGTCACCTGAGTTGATGTAGCTGGGCCTTCCCCTGCCTCCGTGTTGTCCGTTGATGTATGGAGGAGTTTGAATAACTCTGCTTTCTTTGCTGTAGCAGGGTAGGGGATTTGTCACCTCCTTAGGTCGGTGGTAATGTGTGGGATCGTCCAGGATCTGATTGCTGCAGGACTAGCAACTTCTCCTCTGCTTGAACGTGTATCAATTCTAGCCGGGGTGCTAGGAAGAGGTGATTCTTCACCATCTTTTGGAAAAATACTTAAATAACAATAAAGATGCAATTATTTGTACCCAGGGTTCTTGTACTGGCTTGCTAGCTAAGCCGTAAGGCGAAACGATTAGGCTTGGTGTTTTTTGGTGACTGGTGAGGCCCTGCTAGTTGCCAAGTGGCTTGAGAGGCTCTATCTATGCTTGGCGCGAGGGGATTTTGTGTGGCCACCGAACATTGTGGCAGGATGTTGGCCTCTCGGTGACAGTAACCAGAAAATAGGAAGGGGAGTGACAGGTGAGGCCCTCTCTATGATACAATGCGAGGCGGCTAGCTCACGAGTGGCCCGAGGGGTGTATGCCTCCGAGTGTGAGGCGGGGTGTTGGCCTCGCGGGACCACTAACCGAAGCATAATGCAGAGAAAAAAGGGGGTAATACCTATTGGGCCCTAGAACCCTAATTGCCAGTACACTATTACTATTCCAGGGAAGGTAAGAGATGGATAACTACGTGAGCAGGTGTATGTACCTGGTAGTATGGTATTGAACCTGACAATCCGTATAGGTTTTTTAGTAGTAACTGTAACCTGAATGGATAAAACCGTATGGCATAAGGAAATATGGCATAGACCAAGCTTATCTTAATACGTACAGTATATGTGAAAAGTAAAGTGCCATGATGTGTAAATATTAAACATCGTAGCCATACTGGTTAAATATGTATCAATCTTAACCCATTAAGTGCCGTATGTACAAGTGAAAATGTGGTCTGTCCCCACCTTGTATGTTGTATGTCCCCTTGCTAGGGGAAAGTCTGTTGCGTGAGCAGCGTGCTGTGAAAAATGTATGTGAACTATATTACCAGTTACGTATATACAGACGCGTCTGCTACTGTGTAATAATATATGTATTTATACCTGATGTTGATATAGTGCTTGCTATGTGAATTGTTGTATGTCTTATTGAATGGTAGGGGTCAGTGAACATGGTGTTGCAAAATGCAAGTGCACTGGAGATCTGCCGAGTGCCCTATAGGTGGCAGTGTAGTTGGATACTGATTGGTATGTGAAATGTTGTTTGTCTGTTGACCTATAGGTGTAAGTATTTTGGTGTTTGTAAAACCCCATGAAAATTGTCAATGTACTTGACAGACCTGTAGGTGGCAGTGTTGATAGAACCACTGTTGGTCTTGATGTGAAATGTAAATTATTGTGAACTAAACCTGAATTTGAGCCCGTGCTGGAGTTTCATTTATGGTTTATGGTTATGTTTAACCCCGTAAGGACCAAACTTCTGGAATAAAAGGAAATCATGACACGTCACACATGTCTTGTGTCCTTAAGGGGTTAAAACAATCTAATGTGTAATTTATATTGGCTGGTAAATTGTATATGACATGTGAAGACAGTTTTGCTGTTGACCAGTAGGGGTCATAAATGCTGATTGTATGGTAAAAATACCCTTTAACCCCTTAAGGACCAAACTTCTGGAATAAAAGGGAATCCTGACATGACACACGTCATGTGTCCCTAAGGGGTTAATCCTACCGTATGACAGATAGGAGTCAGTATAAAAGCGAAAATGCTGTAGTTAGTTTGTTTGCTTATGAAGTGAAATAAAGTCTGAGAAGACTGTAGTATACGATTGACCGGTAGGGGTCAGCATGTAGGCGAAAATGCCGTGGTTCGTTGGTTTGTACATGAAATGCAATAATGTCTGAGAAGCCTGTAGTACACTGAATGACCGGTAGGTGTAAGTGTGTAGGTAAAAATGCAGTGGTTTATTGTTTTGTACACGAAAAGCAATAATGTCTAAGAAGCCTGTAGTACACCGAATGACTGATAGGGGTCAGTGTGTAGGTGAAAAATTAAGTGGTTTGTTGGTTTGTACCTGAAATGCAATAATGTCGGAGAAGCCTGTAGTACACAGAATGACCGGTAGGGGTCATTGTGTAGGCGCAAATGCAGTGGTTCGTTGATTTGTACATGAAATGCGATAATGTCTAAGAAGCCTGTAGTCCACCGAAAGACCAGTAGGGGTCAGTGTGTAGGTGTAAATGCAGTGGTTTATTGGTTTGTACATGAAAATGCAAACAACGCCTAAGAAGCCTGTAGTACACCGAATGACCAATAGGGGTCAGTGTGTAGGTGAAAAATGCGGTGGTTCGTTGGTTTGTACATGAAATGCAATAATGTCTGAGAAGCCTGTAGTACACCGAATGACCGGTAGGGGTCAGTGTGTAGGCAAAGATGCAGTGGTTCGTTGGTTTGTACATGAAATGCGATAATGTCTAAGAAGTCTGTAGTACACCCAAAGACCAGTAGGGAGTTTAAACGAATGATATGCTTGAACATGCAATGGTTTTAGAACAGACTTAGACAAAATGCAGCAGTAAAGTGAGGACCTGACCCTTGCATGGTGCCGTGGGACTGATGCCTGGCGTAATGGGTAGGTCAATTTACGGTTTGTGAGTCACTTGGACACCATCCACAGCAATAGATTAAGGAAAGAAGGTGGTAGGCCGGAAAAGCCTGTGGCTGGATTCCTGACACAGCTCAGCTTAGAAAACCTCATGGAGTAATCAGGTAAAATGGCGTCTGGATGACCCGGAAGTGGAAATCATTCTGATGCTGACCTCAAGCGATATGAGTCAGGTAAGGGGTGTCCCTTATATAGGGGAGTGAATTAATTTAAGCCCCTCCCACAAATACAGGCAAAACTGCCTTAATACATATATATATAGTCCCTTGCAAAGGTATTCACCCCCCTTGGCATTTTTTCGTGTTTTGTTGCCTCACAACCTGGAATTTTCAATACGAAAAAATGCCAAGGGGGGTGACTACTTTTGCAAGGGACTATATATATATATATATATATACATATATATATATATATATATATATATATATAGTCCCTTGCAAAAGTAGTCACCCCCCTTGGCATTTTTTCGTGTTTTGTTGCCTCACAACCTGGAATTAACATGGATTGTTTGAGAATTTGCATCATTTAATTTACAGATCATGCCCACAACTTTGAAGTATAGTCCCTTGCAAAAGTATTCACCCCCCTTGGGGTATAGATATATATATATATATATATATAAATAAAATTATAGATATTTTTTGCTGCTTACTTTTTTCCTCTATTAATCACTTTCCACTTGCTTTGTGAATAATATCAACATTAATGGTGGTTTCCTAACCATTAATTATCCCTTTTCCCCATCATCTTATCTTTTGGCGTAATGGACGGTAAACAAACTAACTTGTTCATCCATTGTCCATGACATTTGTTTTGTGATTAGTCCATATGACACTTAGGAGATGAACTTCCAAATGCCCAACATTCTGAAGAATTGCAATATTTTTTAAACCAAGTACACAAGTCTAGTCTGAAGTGAAATAAGACAATTACGAATCCAAAATTAACCATTTTTTTCATCTGAATAATACAATATATTTATAAAAATCTGGATGAACTCACAATTAAAAAGCACTTAGATTCCCAAGTGCAAAGTTCATTAAAATAAATGTTTTAAAAGAGATTTGTCAAATCCTCAATACTTCATCAAAATCCTGAGAAATATTTTCCATATTTATACTTCATCAAAAAGCTCACATTTTCTGTAACTTTTTGTACATTATATTATTAAATATATTAAATAACAAATAAAAATCTAACTGACCATATATTGGGCTTATAAATTGGGCCGGTTCTTCAAGTGCTTCTAATATTTATCAATCTTCTCACCTTTAACAGTTACCACATCTATAAATCCCATTAGGTTTCCACTTGGGTATAAGTGGTTTTTACTGTGCAAGTGCATTCCAGATGTTTATAATCGTATTTGTAATATTTAACTTTCTGAACTTTTTTCTATAATGTTTCCAAAGATTTTTTTCACACATCCAATATACTATCTGATCTAACATTACTGCATGGATGGCAATTTAAGCAGAACTTCTTAAATATGTGACTCCAAAAGTAATTCATTATTAACCCCTTCAGGACCAAACTTCTGAAATAAAAAGGGAATCATGACATGTCACACATGCCATGTGTCCTTAAGGGGTTAAAGGGACACTGTAAGCACCACAACAACTTCAGCTTAATGAAGCAGGTTTGGTGAATAGATCATACCCCTGCAGTCTCACTGGTCAGTCATGTGCCCATTAGGAATGAAATCACTTTGTTTATACAGCCCTAGCCACACCTCACCTGGCTGTGTCTCACATAGCCTCCAAACACACTTCCCAAAAAAAAGCTTTTTTCTTTAGTTTTCCTTATTGTAAAGTATACTACATTTAGAATGTAATATCTCTTGCCTTAATTGCCTGCTAAAGCCCGCAACAGCATCCTGTGTGTGAATGAAATTAATTTTAAAGAGCAGGAAACAAGAATGGCTAATGTAAATATTAATCCTTTTTTTATAGAGGCTACCAGAAATTAACACTACTAATGCAAAAGTAATAAAAAATATTTGACATTTGACCTATTATCTAACTTCAGCTGATTTGGGTTTACATTTTAAATTTCCTGGTACATTTCTAATAATGCATAGTTCTGTGAATAAATATGTTTATTTCATACAAATAAAAGAAACACTAACTTGTGTGCCACATACTGTTTTCACATTCAAATAAAGACCCCCCCGCTCCCCAACTACAATAAGAGAATTACCTTCCTGAACCACATCAAATGCTACTACTGTACATAGAGCAGTGTGTGAATGCCTGCAGCCTGATCATTTGTCAGTGTAAAGCGGGTATATTTGCACGTATTCACAATGCATTATTATGCATTTATAAATTCACTATATTGCGTTTTAATATTTGCATTCATGAAATAGAGAGAAAAAATATGTCAAAAATAGAGTTTAGATTTGCAGAAGGGATGGGATGTAAAATATGCAAAGCTAAGACTTTGAAATTTACATTAGGTTTGACAATAATACTATGATTAATATTACTTCAAGGATTTAAATTGAGAAACCGTAATCTGTTCACTAAACGGAAATTAATTGGTGTGGATTATTTTTGAGTAAACAGATTAAAACATGTCAATGGGAAACAAAGTATTTGTGTGTATGCAAGATACATGTTATTGGGTTTCTTTTCAACCTTGTTGGCAAATAGCTACTGTAATCTATAGCTATTAGAGTGAAATTGTCATGTCTTACTTCGCCATGATCTAACTAAAGAGGGGTGTTACATTTCCCCAAGCAGGGCAAACCCCCTCCATGACGCCGACATGCTGCCTTCATGTCATGTTGTTGCTTCTGAACGGATCGATTCTCAATGTCTGCTGAGAGACAGATAAGAAAACCTATTTTTACATTTGAAAACTGATAGCACAATGTAGAGATGGAATTTTGCACTAAATATCAATTGTCTGATATGCCAAAAGAGACATGTCACGCAGTAATAAGTCCCTGTAAATATAAAAAGAAAATAATAAACAATTTATTGGAAAATTAAGAAACAATAAAGGGACTCTCATAAATAACACCCTATTAAAATAGCCTACAAACTGGAGAAAGGGGAAGTAAATATATCCAGATTTATAGAGTAAACTACATATAGTCCCCTCTTGACAGGAATAGTGCTGATGTCACAGAAAATAATTAAATTAGAGCTCATCATAAAAGGAGCAATTCACCAGACCCCTTAGGTGATTACCTCTTATGCTTTAAAGAGCTACCAAACATCTCCTGTTACAAATGAACTCAATTAAAACTAGTTTTATGAGACAGCTCTTCAGGTGAAAGCCAAACAGAAATTGTATGCAATAAATTAATACTAAATAACAATCTTGTCAGGAGGTTATCTCAATAGACACATCTTGTTATAATATAAAAGGCAAGAAGATGCAAGAAACATATATACGAATATGTATCCAGAAAACTAAGACAATGACAGAGAGGGTTAAAAAAAAAAAGCAACAACACATAAATACTGATATATACCTGTGAGTCCATAATCTAAGACTCAGTGTCAAAGAAGAGGCTAGACAACCACTCCACAAACAGAGTCAGCCTATCGTGCTATAACTTGTCCATCCACTGCTCGAGCAGCCTAAAGTATGTGAACAAAAACAAAACATAATGTGCTCAAAATAAATGTGAAATAAAGAGCAAAGCTGCCCGACACACATTTCGGTGCTATCACTGTGATTTTGTCTTGGGCTACGTTTAATGAGGCAAAAAGGTGTTTCTTTGTTGAACCAATTTGCCCACTCAGAATCCCTTGCAGTAGTAACATCACTGCAAATGTGAGGTTTCTGTGGGAAAACCAAAAGTTATGTATAGAAAAGACATAGGGAAATCCAGATATCTTATGCCTGGTGCGGTAACCTGCAATAATCCCATAAACTTCCAAGGATGGCTAGCACTCAGAGGACTTACTTTCAGTTAAAACTAAACCTGTATTGAATCTGTCTGTTTGTCCATTTCAGTTTAAAAACATAAAGCATAAACGTTCATCAGGACAACCTTATACAACCCTTATCTTTGCTCCAGGGAGAGCTAAGTACAGTGGGTGAACAGGAGTTCAGTAGTCTCCACTCCCTGTAGGACACACTTCCACTGAGGAGAGAGACCGATTGGTGGGTAGTGGTAGCGACCAACTCCACTCCCAGTGATGCTTGCTGCTGCTGAGATGAGGGACCGACAGTCTCCTCTCTCTGTGACATGGGCTGCTGCTGGGGAGACAGACCGACCGTCTCCTCTCCCTGTAGGATGCACTGGCGCTGGATAGAGAGACCGATTGTCTCCTCTCCCTGTAACGCTGCTTGGCACTGGATAGTGGTAGCGACCAACTCCACTCCCAGTGATGCTTGCTGCTGCTGAGATGAGGGACCGACAGTCTCCTCTCTCTGTGACACGGGCTGCCACTGGGGAGAGAGACCGGTTGTCTCTTCTCCCTTTATAACACACTGCTGCTGGGATCTGGGTCGGCTGCCCAGCATCCCTGTAGGGCTGGTAGAGAGAACTCAATCCTATTACTGACAAGCCTAATGCAATTTTCTGTTGCCTTCAGCAGTGCAACTTTTAAATAATCCGATTTCTCTTGGACTCCAATTAAATTGCTCCAATTTGATAATGATTCCTTTACACATATTTTAATTTTAGAGTCTAAAACTTTTGTTTTTGTGTGGTGTGACTCAGTCACTGTTCTTATATTAAACCACACTGACTGATGATCACTGGATCCTAAACTTTCACCTACAGTAATATCTGATACCAAATAATAGGTTAGATTTTCTGCTATCCTTCACAAACAGGGCCACCCCTCCCCCTTCCATGCCTTCCCTGTCTTTTCTATATAAAGAGTACCCTGGTATTGCTATGTCCCAGTCATTTTTCTCATTATACCATGTCTCAGTAACAGCAACTAAATCTACATTATCAGCTGCCATTATTGCCACAAGTTCATGGATCTTATTCCCTAAACTGCAAGCATTTGTAGACATGACTCAAAGCTTATCCTTTTTTAACACACTTGCTAAAGGCACCTTCTGTCCTTGTTCTGGGGGGAAATTTGAGTGATGTTTTATCACCCTTTTGCCCCCCCCTCCCCCTTCCTAGTTTAAATAAATCCTAGCAAAACCTCTGAACTGCTCACTGAGAACATTTGTTCCCTTTTGAGAAAGATGCAAACCATCTTTTTTGTACAGGTTATTTCCATTCCAAACAGAGCTACCATGAGAAATAAAGCTAAATCCTTGCTCCCGACACCATTCACCAAGCCACGAATTAAAGTCTCTAATATGCATCCGCCTGTCGTTCTGAGTGTTATGCACAGGCAGAACTTCAGAGAATGACAGTGTGGAAGCAACCTGCCATCAGGGATGGACTGACAGC